CTATTTGAGACCAGAGGTGGTACAGCGCATTGCCTCCATACATTTCTTTCCATATGAGTTCGTGCGTGTACAAATTCAGTAATGCCCTTCCCGTCCCATACCGTGACTCATGGCCCTCCTTAAATTTCTGCCATAGAGACTCAATGCTGTTTGTGTAAGCACCGGTCTCAGGATAAATGAAGTGGAGACTGTGGTTGACACCTTCATGCTGGTATCCCTCTGGCATGTCCTTAATGGTACTATATGCAGTCCACTAATCAGACACTATAGTTCTTCCTTTAACTACATGCTGCCTAATCAGTGGCAGAAGGGTAGAAGCATCTCGCCGAGCATGCAACATGTAGTCTTCTTTGATGTTAGAATCACAATTACGGATTGTAATCCAGAAGCTGTAGCATAATGGCTGGAAGCAACGCAGCATCGCTACAGCGCAAGGTTTGAGGATTCAAAACCTGGACCTCCAGCACGGAAAGTGGGAGCGCTACCACGGTACCACACTGCCACACGGAAGTGAGTGTTTTAAGATAGACATAAACGTGTAAATAAGCGCGTAGAGAGGTTGCGGTGGCGCAGCAGGACTTTGCTTCGCTCAGCCCTACTGCGCTGCCGCTGCCGTCCCCTTCTCATTGCCGCTCTCCCCTTCCCTTTGCTGCTATCCCCTTCCTCAACTTTCCCTCCAAAAACCTGCTAGGCAATCAGCGCGCTGGGGCCGTCAGTCGACAAGAGTGCCGTTTTTTCTTGTCCATTTAAAGTGTCTTGTTACTGGTCTGAAAGTTAGGGCTTTTTGGGTGTACTACTCCCCTGAAAGAGCAAAAAGTTCTTTTCAGTCTTTCGCATGTTTCATTCACTCTTACTTAAAATATATTCAAATACTTTTGCTCCTGTGAAAAAAGATTATCATATTTCTGTTTTATGTTTTTTTTCTTAGGGTTACGTCTTACTCTGTAAAACTATTGGGCTGTTGTGACTTTAGTACTACTTAGCAAGCCTCACGTCTGTAGCAGTTTTTGGAAGCAACAAAATTTCTGGTAACCGCAGTGATCCTTCAAGAAGTTGCCATGATACTGTTTTAAAGTGGGCTAATTTTACTTTGCAGTTTTGCATCACAACAACTAGAGTTATTATTTATACAACGCACAATTGCTTCTATAATCAACATTTTAAGGCAGACGATTATTAAGAATAACTCAAATTCATATGTTGCATATCAACACAAAAGCGGTAAAGTTCGCATGGGATAAACAAAACTTGCTCACTTTCAGTATGTTATACAAGAGGATGGAGAGCTACAACGCACACCCGATTGAATTGGAACTAAAAATGCATAACCATTTGTTTACGTGGAATTAAGCAGAAGTACAATTGTTTAATTTGGTGGTACGAATAAAATATAAGGAACGCTGCAACACTTGAGAATGCAATGAATAATAATAGTAAGTATATCAGATAAATAATCTGGTGTTGTCCCAGCGGTGACTTTCGTTTGAAACCATATCCTGAATTTTGTGACCGGTTATTTATACGCATTATTAATAATTTTTTTTTTTTGTATTATTTTGGGGAGAACAGCTCAATGACCAATGAATATGTCATTTTAGAACATATTCTAAAATTTTTTTTTTCATAGTATAGTGGTACTTATGTTCGCGTCAACACTCATCATTATCTTTTGCATTAGTTGGAAGAGCTAAAAATGTTTTAAGTTTGATTGATATAACCAGTTGAGTTTTATTGCTCGCGAATCCAACTGTTATGAAAGGTAGACTTCTAGAGATTTGCTGTGCAAGTTTGCAAATTTAAGCTGAAACGCAGTCTAATAAATCGTTTTTCTAATGCATACTTTTTCAACAAAATTGTTAAAATAAACTTAGAAACCGTTCCTGAGAGTTCATGGGCAAATAATTACAAGGATTACTGCTTTGTAGTTGTTAACGTTATTTGCTTCAAAGCACAATCAAGTTGACTAGAGGATTCCAACGGCAAAAAATGTTTTTAGAATGATTGTCTAGAAGGAGTTATGTAATTGCATCTAATGGCTTGGTGTTGGTTATTCAATATTTATAAGGTATTCAAAACTATGAAAAAGGGTGTAAAAGTTTGGTCAAGTGAATGATGTGAACTTTTTTAAATATAGTAGGTTGCTCGGGGAAGTTTTGATGCACCTCAAAAATTTACTTTTATATGAAAAGCACTTAGTCAAAATTGAAAGCTACCGATTTGGCAACATAGCATCTGTAGATTTTTTTTTGCAGTTGTAAAGTTGAATAGTTGATAGTTTAAGGATGATGAAACTAGATTTTGTAACACTCTTAAATTAGGTTATCTTCCATATCTTTCTCAATCTGTTAATTCAAGTTCCACCCAATAAACAATTTTAATGAAATAGTATTGTAACTACTGTGCTTTTAGACAGTAACAATTGTTACAGGAAAATTATGATAGGAAATCAGTAGTTTTCAAAAATAGAAACCCTTCTTTGATTTTTTCAAATGAACTTCAATAAATTAGGGAAAAAGTTCAAAAGTTTTGCAATAACCATTTTTTATTAGAAATACTCCTAAAAATACCAAAAATACACCATTTTTATAACTATTCAGTTTTAGAGCAAAGCCGTTTTTGATTAAGAAAATAGAAGTAATTATCTGAAAGAACTCTAAATGTTTGTTCAAATAGTTTGCTGACTTAAAAGCCCACTAATGAAGATTTTCCCGATAAAATTCAGAAGAACAACTGTTTTTTTCAGTCGTTGATTTGAGCACTTACCTTTTTCTTTTCTTTTCGTTGTTAGGTTTTTCGATTGACTGACCTGCAAAAATTTCATTTCAAAGAGTAATTTTTACAGGAGAGGAAGTCTTTAGTAAAAGAAATTATTAATTGTTAATAACTTTCAAATCTTTGACAAACGTGGTTTTTTTTACTAATTTTTAAAGTTATAAAATTGTTCATTTAATTAGCCACTTCAGTAGGAAAGAACTTTCTGCTCGTTAATTTTTACAATGGGCACGGTACTTTACGGTCCAAGAAGTCTAAAGAAATTACAGTTTCCTTGTATTCCCACTTTTTTTTCTCCCAGTATTCCGTCACTGTGATGCCTTCTGAAGATATTCGCTTTATGGGTGCTTCATAATTGTGCTGCGCTACGGATGAGCCTGAAACACTTGTTTATGATAAAATTTCAGTTCGATAACACGACATGATTTATAAATGATTTCCTGTTTTGATGATGCCGTTTAATTTCTGAATTTTTATGATACTTGCAAGGCTTTTCAAAAAGGTACAGGTTTATTCAAATTAACGAGCGAACTTATTCGAAAAACTTCAGTGCTGTAGCTGTTAGTCATCTTACTGGGAATAATTTGATAAGAAATGCAAACCATTTATTGGTCTTGAGAAAAATTTAGTTGGAAATAAATCTTGTTCTGAATGTATCGCCTGAAGGTAAATTTTCTGACAAATGTGCTTAGCTAACAGCGCAAAGATATAATTCAGTGTTTTTAGTAAATAACGGCCAATTTGTATCACCTTCAGTAAACTCCTTTTCATGCCTTTAATGCAGTGATAAAATGAAACGTTTGAAAGCCAAGAGATTCAGCTTTTTACTCATTTGGTTTGACGTAATCCTTGATATTATCTTTCTCACATTTTTAAAAACCTGTTTTTTGTGTACCTGGAAACTGTGAGTCACAGGAACTTAACGTCTTTTGTCAAAAACCTTTATGGATTTTTTCAGCACTGAGTATTTAGGCTTCGTGAAATCCTGTGCGAAAGAGATTAAAAATTCTACGACTGTTAAAGATCTCTAAACGCGATTTTATTGGTTATATGGGGAGTATAGAGCTGTAGTGCTCAATTACGTATTTTTCTGCATCTTTTTAATTCTACCGTTGGATTAGTCAAAATAAAAGTCATCTAACGTCAGCAACTTTTATATTTACCTGGTGGATTTTTCCTCCATGCTCGTACTGGTTCTATAAAAACTCTCCTTCCTCTAGCTAGTGGAGGTCTATTTGTTCGAACTGCCTCCGTCGAGTGATAATTCCAGAAACCTTCTACCTTCTAAACGTTAGGCTTTGTAGGAATTATATTTGGCAGTTTTGCGAAATTTAGAACATTGTTTTTGTAGAGTGAAACTTCTAGTTACTAAATCTTGAATGTACATTTACTTTTGGGCCGTACTTAAGCCGGATGTAATTTTTTGGACTTTGATCTGGCACCTGAAGTGTCTGGGAACTCTGATTATGACCTTCATGATAATTTTTTAAAGAACTTGTTGGCGTGTTTGACGTCGCAGCTAGCGAAGTTGGAAAATACGGCCACCGTGTTTCTTCATATCTGAGCTTTTCATATTTTTTGTCTCGGAACCGGTCATCAGGTTTGCTGCTGGCCTTGACAGTTACCTTCAAAAAGAAATAAATGTCCACTGTTCTTCTCTTATATTACTGGAAACTGCAGAAGCATAATAAGCTTTAAAATCTTAATCTACACTTTGCTTATTTTGATGTCGTTTCTAGAGGCGTCAAAATTATGACCGCCCCAACAGCACTGATCTTCAGAACTTTTATTAGCGTAATCTGTTGTATTTTGTTGTCGACAGTTGGGTGTCTGACAGTTTCCTTCAGCCGACAAATAATTTTTCAACGGCTCAATAGTTTTTTCTTTTCGGCGCGCTCCGCTAAATTCTTGCAGATGCAACTTAACTTTGTTTTGTGTTTTGTTTCTCGTCCTTTGATCCCAAGTTCTTGAAGTTAGTTTTGTTACGTTAATGTTTTTTACATCAATCTCAAAACTGTTTCCCTCATCCGCCTTTGAAACTGCAACAGTTTCTTTGACTTCTAACAAAAATCCGCTTTTCTGATAAGTGAAAATGTATGAAAATGGTATTACAGTTGTATTCGGCTTTTGTTTTCTTTTATCTTCATCCAAAAAGCTCGCTATTTTCTTGTCATACTGAGTAGTTCTTTCAACTATTTCTTCACTTGCGTTGGTAATCGGCAAGTCGTGACTAATACCTGAACTGATAGTATTTCCGCGTGACAAATTTTTGAGCGCTGCAGTAGGGTTAGTGGCCCTGTCACTAGTTTCCTCTAATGTCTTCAAGCTTGTGGGATCATCGTTAGTGGTATAGTTTTTTTGAGGTAGTTTTTTAAAAACCTTAGTTAATTCCTTTTTTTCGATTTTTTCTACGCTTTTTGAATTTGTAGCAACGTCATAATCAGTGGTAAAGCTTTCGCCACGTGAATTTCCAGACACCCTTAAAAGTTTATTGCTCGCGTCCTCGTTTTTCTCTAAATTCTTGAACATTGTAGTAAAGTTATCAACTGCTGTTACTTTGATCGTTTCGAGTATATCTCTCGGCATTTGCGTCGCAGAAGTCAATCTTGTTCTTTCGCCACCTAAACGATGAGAAGGTTCAGTAGTGGCTATTTTTTGCTGTTTAGTAAAGCAATTTTTTATGCTGTCTGATGGCTCATTGTTCTGCTTCCTTTAGTTTTCAGGCCCTTATTTTTACTTTTATCTGTCGCTCTATTACTGCAACTTTTATAACACTGTAAAATTGTTCTTCGGTATTTTCGGAGGATCTAAAGATAATTGCTCAGTTCCATACATATATTCAGTGTTCAGATCACTACCTGATGGAGGCGCGCTGGCAGCAGTTTTCTCAGTATCGGCTTTAACGAATCGATCTTTTATCGTTTCTCTTTCAATTATCTGACTTCTTAAGCTCGATATCGTTGCAGGCGTATATTCCAAACTCATTTCTTTTGCATTTTCTATCGTTGTTGGTTTGTAGGGACTAGTCAGTGACCCTTCAATTTTTAGTTTTACATATCCGTTTGACTTCTGTCTTGTGACGTCATTATAAGTAAAAAATTCATTTAATTTTGTTTTGATATCGCCCTTGCACTCTTTTTTGTTTAGTTTAGGATCACCGACTAGTTGCCCGGTGATGACTCTGCTTGGTTTGTTTCCGCCGCTCCAAATTGGTACTGTTGGTGAAGCCGACAGATTAGGGCTGTCTGGCGGCACTAAATCAGAGGTAACGGAAACAGTTGTAAATAAAACTTTTCTCTCTGTCAGTGCAGTTCGTTGTCCAGGAAGTTCCGGGGGTGAAGTTTTTATTGGTGGATACTTCCTCTCCTGAGACTTAACCGCATTTCCGTAGCTGATTTCATCTGTCTCAAAGAGATTTTGACCGGATTCTAAGCCGTAATAGTTCCTATAAGTGAATATGATAAAAGCGTGAAATTTATTTTAAATGCTCTTAACTTTTGAATTTTCCAGGCGTTGACTCATAGTTTGGTTGAAGATTGAACTATATGTTGGCTATGACCTTGATTATCTCAAAAACGTATTTAAGATAAAACATTTAGTGAAAAAAACGGGAAATTTACGAAAGGACAGAGATGTTCCGAACGTTTTTTATAAATTAAAAAATTTTTTACAAATGCTTTTTTATACAAAACAGGTTTTCGTAAACTGGCAGAAGTCGTTCTAATACTGCACTACACATCGAGTCTTCGCTTACGAAGCCGAAAAATCAGCCATTTTTTTTAGACAGTAGCTAATTTATGAGATAAAGTTCAAAACGTATAATTTAACTTTTACTTACAAGTCGCTTGTATAGTAATATGCGGTAGTACTAATCTGCGAAAATAATAAACTTTCATTGCTCAGATCAGACACAGCTACCGTCGAGTAAGCTAAAAAGTATTCTGGAAACAGTTTAAACCTTGAAGAAAAATAATGTTTCATTCCTTCTTCTGCTGTAAACGTCTGGAAAGTCAGACTTCATCCTTCTGACAACAATAACTGGTCTAATTCTAAAGCTTTTTATCTTATAAAAAATTGTAACCGATCTTTATGTACCGAAAAGATGATGAACCGTGCTAAAAAAAA